CGTGTAAAAGCTAAGGAAAGGTTCTAGTCTAGACCATAAAAACTAGGGAGTTTGTAAGGTTACTCTTTATCCTCAAAAGAAAGAACAAATTAGTGAATTTGTTGGAAAATCCTTGGTGAGGAGCTAATATAGTGGACGTAGACTTTGGTTGAGAAAGTCAAACCACTATAAATCGCTGTGCAATTCTTTATCTTTCAATCTCCTTACTCCCTAAACACAAAACCGTTCCGACCCCTCTTTACAAACCGTTCGGTTGTCGATTCGAGCTTTCGAAAATCCTAACAGAATTCATAGGTACCTAGCAGGTACTATACACTATGATTGATGTTCTCTCCAATTGATAACAGAACGTTGGTCTCAACCTTTGCAGATGGAGATGAGGTGCCAACCTGGATGATCGAAGGTCAGTATCGGGTCACGGAGTATTCATAGGTAAATGCCTTGTTGCGTGGAGCTCAAAGAAGAAACGCTCAGTGTCTAGGAGCACCATGGAAGCTGAATACAAAAGTGTGGCTAATATTGCATCTAAAGTCACATGGATTAGCACATTGTTAATTGATCTTGGTATTCAGCAGAAAGGGAAATTGGTGATTTGGTGTGAGAACACGAGTGCAGTGGCTATGAGTGCCAACCCAATATATCATGCACATTACAAGCATGTAGTATTAAATATGCATTTTGTAAGGGAAAAGGTGGTTGATGGGCATATTTGTGTTAATTATGTACCAGCTGCACACAAGTGGCTGATGGATTCACTAAACCATTGTCAAAATAAGCGTTTGAGGAATTTCGCGATAAAGTGTGTGTTGTGCTGCGATGAAGAAAGGAAGGTGAAGATATAGGGGGAATATTATAGGTATATGTAGCTTACATATACGTATGCATGCAAGCTGTGTAAACTTTGTAAATAACAGTTAGTGAGTCAGCAGCTGTTAGGAGTTTGTTAGTTGTTAGTTAGGTTGTTAGTGTGTATTCTTTGGCAGTAACTGCTTGCAAATCATGTATAAAGAGACTGTAAATGTACAGCTTGATGTAGAGCTTGTTTTGATTAATAGACTTGTATTCTGTTGAAGAGCAGTAACTCAATAGTTGCTAGGGAAAGGGTTGTTTATGCTGAATTAATGGATGTTATGGGTGTTAAGGGAACTTCTTTTGACAAAAAAGCAGGACCAGATGGATTCACGAGGGGGATAGGAACTCCAAGTTTTTCATTATATGGTGGTTGTGAAGCAAAATAGGCAAACTATTTGCACTCTCACTAATGATCAGGATCAGGTGTTCGATAATCTTGAGGATATCTCTGCTGAGATTATTTGATATTATGATGCTATGTTGGGTAGTCATGATTTGTCTGTTGTTGGTACTAGTGTTGACCTGATCAAAGAGGTGTTGGGGTGTTCTTTCTCAGACATTGCAAAGGAGATTTTTTGTAGGAATGTTACTAGGGATGAAATAAGGGTTTCCATATTTTGTTAGCATCCTGATAAAGCTCCAGGCCCAGATGGATTTACTTCTGGTTTTTTTCTTGCTGCTTGGTCACTTGTGGGGAATGATGTTATTGAAGAAGTTAGCTATTTTCGTTTATCATTCTAGGTTGTTCCCTGCCTTTAATGTTACCACTTTGGTGCTGGTATCTAAGAAGTTCAATCCGAATCATGTGAGGAACTTTAGGCCTATTTTTCGCTGTAATGTGGTGTACAAGTGTATTAACCGTATCATTGTTAATAGGCTTAAAGGTTTTCTTCCTAAGGTTATCTCTAGGAGCCAAAGTACTTTCATCCCCGGGAGGTCAATTATTGACATCACTCAAATGGCTCAAGAGTTGGTTCACAACTATAATAGATGTTCTCTTTTCCCTGATGTGCTCTTAAGCTTGATTTACAGAATGCATTTGACTCTGTGAATTGACAGTTTTTATTGACTATCTTAGAAGTCTTGGAGATGCCTAGGATGATGATTGGTTGGATTAAGGAGTGTATTACCACTACTAAGTTTTTTATTTCTCTTAATGGGGGTAGGGTGGGGTTTTTTAATGGGACTAAAGGGGTTTTTCAGAGAGACAACTTATCCATTTATCTATTTTTTATCGCTATGAATGTTCTCTCTCAGCTTCTGGACAAGGCTGAAGGGCAAGGGATGTTTCGTTTCCATCCTAAGTGTCATAGGATTGGTCTCACTAATCTTTGTTTTGCTGACGATCTCTTGGTTTTTACCAAGGGAACTGTGGATTCGGTTGTAGGAGTTTGGGAAATGTTGAAACTATTTTATGGCTTCTCATGTCTGCAAATTAACCCTGGCAAGTCTGAGTTATTTTCTTCTGGATTTAATGAGGCGGCGTTGTCTAAGATCACTGACGTTACTGGCATTGGTCGTGGGAAGCTACCTATGAGGTACCTCGGGGTCCCTTTGTTCGCTAAGAGGTTCTCAGTAAAAGATTGTGCTCCCCTTATTGATTCTGTTGCAACTAGGTTGCAAGGGTGGAAGACAAGTACCCTTTCTTATGTGGGCAGACTGCAGCTTATTCAATCTGCGGTGTATGGGATCCAAAATTTTTGGACTTGCCAATTAGCTCTCCCAACCACTATTATTGATCGAATCAACTAGCTTTGTTCGAGATTTTTCTGAAAGGGAGAGGACAAGCCTGAGAAAGGGGCTAGAGTGAAATAGAGTATTATATGTTCTCTTAAGTCTGAAGGTGGAATTGGGCTCAATGATATCAAGGGGTGGAACCATGCCTATTTTCTGCTCTAATTAGGAAGATTTTGTTGAAGGATGGCTCTCTCTGGGTTGCTTGGTTGTATTCCTATATTATCAAATATAGTCCTTTTGGGATATTGTTTGTACTCAGAACAGTAGTTGGACTTGGAGGGTTGTTTTGCAACTTCGGGGTAAAGCTGCTTTAATCTAGGGGTTCTTGTCTTTAGGGTCCGTGGTATTGTTATGGCAAGAGGTTTGATGTAAGAGAGCAAAGATTCCTTGGGAGAAGTTAGTTTGGCATCCGAGGCACATACCTAAAAATGATCTTATCTCGTGGATGTCTATTTAAGACAGGTTACCTACTAAGAGTAGGCTTATTTCTTTTGGTTTGGCCATTGAGGGTGAGTGTGGTCTTTGTTTAAGGGAGAGTGAGATAAGGGATCATTTTTTTTAGTGCAAAGTTTCTCGGCTTGTTTAGGGCAGTGTTCTGACTCTTTGTAGGGAAAGTAGGCCTGTGATAGGGTGGAGCATGAGCTTAATTGGGCGTGTCGAAGGCTTAAAGGTAAGTCATTGAGAGATTTGATGTTTAAGTTAGCTTGGAACAGTTGCATTGCTGTCATCTGGAAGGCTAGGAATTATAAGTTGTTTCGTGGAAGGCCGTTCCCGGTTCCTGGTATGATCAACCAAGTGAAAGAGATGGTAAGGTTGAAAATTTGTGGAAAGAACTTGATTTGGGGTGATTCTGTTAATAGAGATTTTTGTATAGCTTGGTTAATTGAGTGAGTGGATTCTGCTTGTATTGCGTTCAACTGTCTGTGTATAGGGTTGACTTTTGTTGTTTATTTGTGTTGATTTCACCTTTGTTTTGGGCTATAAAATGAATTTATTCATCTAAAAAAAGTTTATATTAATTCAATTAACGAAATAATTCACACGTGTTATACTTTAACAAAATCATTATTTAATGCATTGATAATTTATAATACATTATTACTAAATAAATATAAATATAAAATTTAATAATAATATATTATCATTTAATTCGTTAATAATATATAAATTTTACATTAAATAAAATTGCAAATCAAACCTTACTTTGGATATAACACTTTTTTCAGTGGTCTCTTGGCATCATAAATGTTCATATGTTTGGGCAAACACCGAACTCTATTATTGGCATCCCTCCAATCAAATGCTCCCCACGCATTTAGTTTTTAATAATAATATAATAAAGCATTTAATCAAATTGGTCAGGATGACCGTACAGAAACATTATTCAAATGGGAGAAAATAATGTTTCTGCCCTTTTTGGTGGGAACAGAATTGGTCCAGCAAAGCTGCTTTCGTGGGCAAAACAGTCTTTTGAATCAGAATGTTAGGGACGATTTGTTTGGCCCTGAATAAAATCATTTAACGTTGAATGTTGAATCGTTCAGCATTCAGCACGTTTGTTTTTTACCTCTAAATGATTCAGTGCTGACTGATTTAACAAAACAGTATTAAATGATTTAGCACAAAATACATTCTAAATAATTTAGAGTCATTATCAAATAGTATATCATATTCAAGTTAATTTATATAAAACCTCTAAATAATTTAACATCATTATAAAGTAAACAAACAACACCTTAATTACAAAACACGATTCAGAGGAAGTCGAGCCAAACTTGGAAAAATTGCAGCCATGCATAAAAGAAAGAGTCACGTGGGAATTTCTTGTTGGTGACAGCTAACATTGGTGTGTGTAAATGCAACTTTGATATATTAGCAACACATGGGAAATCACGTGCAGTGTTTTAATATATGTCTAAAAATTATTATCGATTTTATTATTATTTAAATAATAAAAATAATAAAATATTATTAAAAATATTATTATTTTATAAATTTTATTATTATTAGATGTTTTAACGATTTTATTATTATTAACACTTTATCAAAAATATTAAAAATAAAATTTTATTAATTTTATTATTTAAATAATAATAAAACTAATAATATTTTTTTAATTATATATTAAAATCGTCGCACATTAAAACTTCCCACAAATATATAGTATCTATAAAACTCTCACCGCCCGCGAAATCAAGTTTCTTTTTTTCCACCTCAAAAGGGAGGAGGGACACGTTGCCACAATGATAAACAGTGGACGGTACGGAATCCCTTTTGAGGTAGATGTGTTCTCTGTTCCCCCCCCCCCTTCTCTCTCTCTCTCTCTCTCACACACAAATTTTTATTTATACAAGTACGTTGCCCATACGGACCCTACGTCTCTTTGCTGCAATTTCTCCTCTCTCTAAACCATATTTCTGTGATACTATAACCAAAAGGCACAGCTCTTTTGTTGGGAAACCATGGGAAGATCACCTTGCTGTGATAAAAATGGGCTCAAGAAAGGGCCATGGACGCCGGAGGAAGATCACAAGTTGATTGATTACATTCAAAAACATGGGTATGGAAATTGGAGGACACTCCCAAAGAATGCCGGTAACTATTACCTACTGTTTCGGATTTTTTTTAATAATGTAATGGTCTTTATGCTAATTGGTTTCTTTTTTTTTCCATGGTTAATATTACAAAAGGTCTTCAAAGATGTGGGAAGAGTTGCCGCCTTCGATGGACCAATTACTTGAGGCCTGATATCAAGAGAGGGAAATTTTCTTTCGAAGAAGAAGAAATAATAATTCAGCTGCACAGTATGTTGGGCAATAAGTAAGTTCATTTTTGCATTTCCCTTGGATCTTTTTCAGTTTTATCTTTCTTCGTTTTCACGGGATGTTTCTCTATATTTATAGGTGGTCTGTTATAGCTGCTCGGTTGCCCGGAAGAACAGACAATGAAATAAAAAACTATTGGAACACTCACATTAGAAAGAGGCTTCTCCGAATGGGGATCGATCCGGTCACTCATAGTCCTCGACTGGATCTCCTTAATCTCTCCTCGATTCTAAGCTCATCTCTATACAACCAATCCCAAATTAACATTTCAAGGTTACTAGGAGTCAATTCATTGGTCAACCCTGAGCTTCTGAAGCTCGCCACTTCTTTCATGTCATCTCGACGTCAAAACCAGAACCAGAACTTCCTTCTTACCAATGTTGATGAAAACCAGCTCTGCAGCTCTCATGTCCAAAACCAATACCAACAATTAATGCAATCGAGCCATGATCTACCAACGCAAGTCCAACAACTCCCAGCCTGCAGCTCGTTGAATACTAGTCCTTGTAGTATTACATTTTCCAATGAAGCTGAACTCATGAATATGGACCAATTCCCATCAAATTTCTCGGACTTTAGTGACTGGCAAGGCGATGCGTTACCTTCAAATTTAACGGAAGATTACGTGCCGGTACCGCCAAACTATGACTATTACGGCTTTGATCAACATAGTCAAACCGTCATGGATCCTTCATTATCCGATACCTCAAATTTCCAATCAAACAATAGCAACCCAAGTTTCGGTTTCACCGCGTCAGTTTTGTCGACGCCTTCTTCAAGTCCAACTCCGTTGAATTCGAATTCGACACATCAACGGTAGCAGCAACGAAGACGAAAGAGATAGCTATTGCAGCAACCTTTTGAAGTTTGAAATTCCAGACCTCTTTGATGTTAATGATTTCATGTAGGTCCATAATCAAAACTCAAAAAAGGAGTTTCCCTTTGTGTCATTTTTTTCTGGATTTAGTTGAGGTCACGATACTTGTAAAATTTTCTACTAATAATTAATTTTGTAGCATTTTCATTAAGCTTGCTGTATCAGGGAACAATATCCTACCTTTTCCAAGATTTTCTTATTTACGTGATCTCTTAATATGATGGGAAGTTTCCATTATTGATATTTCACGTTTCACTGCATTTTTTTTAATTTCTTTCCTTACTTTCTATTTGTACACCATATCTTATTTTAACGAGTCGCCTTATAAATTTAATAACTAATAGTATATTTATGGATTGAAATTTATATATATATATATATATAAACAAATTATTGGTGTTGAAAATATATATTTGTTCAAATCAACCGTGGACGTCCTCTCAAAATATATTTTAAATGAAGGACACTATATTAATCAAATCATAGGCTTTGCTCACAAGAGTTATGGCACGCTGAATAAATAAAAGCAACATCTAAGTTTTGGCCCTTCCCTAAAAATAGGGAATCTTTTGCCTATAACTAGAAAGCTTTTCGAGCAGCAAAACCAAAAAAGATTAACCAAAAGAGCTGGTATTAATCATTACTATGATCAAAAGCAAAAGGATAACTAATCATAAATAAGAAAGATGAGCGGGTTCAAAGATCCACACAAGAAGTCAGATTCCGGTAGGATTTTCGGCGACGAACTCGTCACGAATAGTACACGTGTCCATGCCACCTGTAAAGGAAAGTGTCTTTTTCGGGTGCATGAGGGGATTAAGATGATGCCCGAGGTTTGACCTCAAAATAGTAAAGAAGAAGAAAAGGAAAGCGGCACTTGTCGATGTACTAGCGGCCACCTCAACCGTGGGGGTGGAGGTTGGGACTACCATTGAAGAGAATAGATTGCTTTTTATTGAAAACCACGGCGTGGCTCCTGTGCTGTTTTGTCCCTTTTATTATCTCTCTTTACACCCATCAACCCAAGCTTCACTTGTCAAACCACGAGCTTAATGTTTTAATCACGGCGACACTCGGGTGGACACTGGATTCAATCATTCATTAACTTCATCTAAGAAATTAAAGCTGATAAGGTATTATTAACTGAGCATGGACTTTGTTAGCTTCTATTTAAAACTTTAAATTATCGATCAGGTTTTGAGATTCTTAGAAAAATAAAATGGACTGATGAAGTTCTTGCAAGATAAACCTAAATTTAAGGACCGGTAGAGTTTGTGTTTAAGATACTTAAGTGAATCCACAAATTTTATAATACATAAAATAAGAAATATATGGCTAAAATCACATTTAAAGAAGAGAGATTTAACTCTTTAAGTAGCCTAAGTGATAAAGAGAGTGTTATTGTCTCTAAGATCATAGATTCGAGTAATTATAACTTTTAATTATGTACACATTATTAATAATTGAAAAATATTTTATTTAAATAGTATATTGTAATCACGATAAAAAAAATAAAAGTAAAGAGATTTCTCAGTGAGAGGGTCATACTCGTGATATATCTCTTGGGTTTAAGACAACTCGTTATTTATTCTCGATCCCTATGTATCGACATAATGGCCGTGATTTATTGAGTTGTACTATGTTTGTTGGCCTCATTAATGTTAACCGGACGCAATATATTGACTTAACAAATATGTATCTATAAATTATCTTTCGCTATTTAGAAATCAAAAAGGTTTAACAATAAATTTTAAAGAAATGATTTATGCATAATGATTATTCATAAAAATAAGACGATTTAAATAATAAATATTCGATAATTAATTATTATGTATAATTACTTCAAAGTTTATGATGTGGTGATGCCATTTATCATGTAACATTTTCCTTGTTGAACAAAGTAGAGTCGAATCATATTTTCTTAGTTTGACTCAACTTCTTGGACTGTTGATAGGATGGTTGTCTGCACTGGAATTGTAAGAACAATTCAAGATAACTTATATTGGACTCGTGACTTGGGGACCTGCTTCCTCCCCTCGACTCATTTATGGTAGCATTAAGCTCAAGTAGCTCAAAGCTGAGGTATGGTTTCAATGGAAAGCTTGAGCAAAAGCTTGTCTTTAAAGTAGGGATTTCTTATTTATACGACTGAGTTGAGTTTGGTGTATAAAGTACATCAATGGTGTAATATCCATTTCATTTTTTGAGTTAAAAGTTTTTACTGATCGGATCCTTAGTGTCTTTAGCTAATGGACGAGATATTTTAATTAGCTGAGGTATATAAGGTGGGGTAGGGTTCTTGTTTGACTACGGGGAATGAGCCGACCAGCCACAGAGAAAAGGACACCCCCACATTGTGGCGTTTCCATTTTCTCGACCGCCCAAAGAAACTTTGTTCTTTCAAACATTTTGAACAACCGGCTACCCTCTCTAAAGTGGGTTTCTGCCTTAACTTGATTGTGTGTTATTCATGTCTTTCTTTTTGTTGCTTTTTAAATGACAGTCAGCGTAAGAAAATGCGATGGGTCAGAGACCCCCTCCCAAACACCATGTAGATCCGTCCTTGGTCAGAAAAGCAAATGAGAGATGATGGAAAGTATTTTCCGTTTGTGAACTTTTTCAAAAAAGATGGGATTGTTGACTAATAATAGTTCACTTTATTGGGATGTTTGAATGTTGATTTCTGGGCTGTGTGGGGGTTCAAAGGCTTTGCTGCAACCTTAACCGATGATTTCTTCAAGCTTTACTTCATTGGCGATGGTAAAGTTCAATATAGGCTCTGATTGTTTACGTTTTTCTATAAAATATTTTTCTTATTTCTCGGTGTTTGGTTGTTAGAAAATATATGATCAATGTAATTTATTTTTTTGGTCAACTGAAATTTATTTTCATTTTCCGAAAAATTGTTTAATTTTTATATGTTATTTTACGAACTTTTCACTCCAAGCATAAACACTCAAAAGATTTTTATTTTATATATTTAATATTAATATATTATTTTAGTATCATTTTAATAAAAATATTAATTATTAAATTATATTTGTTGATAATTTTAATAATATAATATTATATGTTTCTCATTATAATTATATTATTATCATATCTAGTATCATACATTTATTTTAACAATGTATAATAAATTATTAATAAAATTAATATTATTTATTAATTTTATAAATATAATATTATTGAATTGTTGAATATTTAAAATATGCTTCTTAAAATATACTATAATATTGATATTTTAATATTATATTTTTTAATATTTTAATAATATTATTATTTTAATAAGTAATTAATATAGTTGATAATATATTATTTTTTTTATTTTAATAAATAATTAATCTAATTTATATTAATTTTATTTTAATAAAATATGATAATATCTTTATTTATAAAATTGTAGATATAATATTTTAGTAATAGTATTTACATAAATAATATTAAATAAATCATTATAATATTTTAAAATATTATTATTATTTTATTAATAAATAATATTATTTATTGTATTTGATGTTTATAATAAATAATTTTTAAAAAAAATTATCAACCATTGAAAAATAAATTACACAATATCATCCAAACACCGTAAAATGATTTCTAAAAAATATTTTACGAAAATGTAATTCATTTTACGAAATTTATTTTCAAAATTTATTTTTCGTTAAATAAACCGACCCATAGATTCTATAGCTTTCACCTTTTACATTACGTATTAAAAGTAAAAAAGAAATAGCGTCTTAATTTCGTTTTCTAAGTATGAACAGCCCTCGTCTCTATGACTAATGCTTGTTGAAAACTAGGCCATATATTATGCTGTTGAATTGTTATTTGTTCACTTATAGGAGAAAGACAGGAATGGACCAATAGGAAGTATGCAAAAGTTAAAGCGTCAGCAGGAGGGATGATTAGGACATTAACACCCTATTTGCAAATTAATTCAAGTCAAAGAGAAACTTTATTTCAAAGTAAGAAGACGTCGGCCGATGTACACTTGGCCATTGGGGCTCATTAATCATTAGTTGTTTGTACTGTATGGGTAGTATGAGTCTTGTTTGCTTTATGGAATAGTATTTTTTTTAGTACAATGGGAAGAGCATGGATCTTAGTTTAATCCTCATACGAATCTCATCGAGCTGAACCGAGCTTCTCACCTCTGCAGGTACCTCTGAGAATCTGTGAAATTGCCATCCAAATTCCATGCCATACGCGTTAATCCATCAGCAACCTGGTTACATTACCGGGGAATATGCTTGATTTGAAAACTCCAGTCTCTCCGTACTAGTTCTTGGACATGAGGAACCATCGTCAATATCCCGTTGACCCTCATTTTTCCTTCAAGCACATCAACTGCATCCATGCAATCAGATTCAACGATTACGTGGCGGAAACTATTCTCCCATGCAATAGATAAACCGGAGAAGATGCCCCATAGTTCTGCGCCCACCACAGTGCAAGACCCAACCTTCTGCGAGAAACCCGTAATCCAGCTTCATGGAATAATATTATAACTTTGTTTAGTGATTTAAACAGTACTGGTTCTACATAATGTTAACGCTAACCCATTTGATTTCTTATATGACTATGTATCAATTCCGAGCATATCGTGTGCTATCAGATACTGAATAAGTTATGTAATGAGAATGCGAATTTAAGTACTTATATACAGGTGCCATTAAACAAATCAAAATCATTTGTTGTGTTTTGATAGTGAACAAGAACAAAGTCCTGTTTTCTGTCTAGATTAATGGGCTCAGCCCTCTATTCTGCAGTTAGGTAAATACATTCGCCCAGAAGTAATTAAATCTTTTTTCTATTATACCCGATAACTAATGTCTCCAATCAAATCAAATCAATAATGGTTTACATCTGAAACAGCCGAAAGATAAGTCATAAAATCTCATGGGTCAAGACCGCGTTACTTGCTGGTTTTGAACCATTACAAACAAACTGAATATGAGTCATTTGCATGAACCCGGTAGTGTTAGTAATCCTTACAGAGATATAAAATATATATTTCATATTAAGAAAACAAAATATTTTTAGGTAGAATTTTAATATGGATTCAAGTTTTGTGTTGCTGTATCATACCTATTTTCTTAAGAGATGAATCATACCTATAAATATTAAGTTATTGTGATGCGCGTGAGCTACTGGTTCCAACTGTTT